CAAATGCATTTTGGCTGTTTGATATTTTTACGCAACGCGTTACCTTGCGTTTAAATTTTTTTCCCCGTGTTTGCATTTATATGTTTCTTTTTCATTAATGCAAACTGTTGTTCTGACTTAAAAATAAAATTCCTGCTCCCAGCTTTGAACGAAAAATCCAATATAAATGGTAAAATATGTCAAACAAGAAAAAAAGACTCGTTTGGTCTGAGAAGAAATTGAGAAATCGTTCTATTTTTTACAGACCTCGAATTGATCTGGGTAATAATTAATTTGTAGAAAGGAGAATACGGACCCTATACGTGAGGGAGTGCGATGGCTTTCGGACACATGACGGACACCGTGAGTAGAAATAATGTATACCCAATCGATTAAATGGATGAGCGGGGTTTCTTTGTTGTTGGGTTTGTTGTCTCGCAAAGGGTAGACGATGTTCTGAAAATAATATTGGTATTTGCGTCGAGGAGTATTATTGTTTGCGTCGAGTGTCTCGAGTGACATTGCAAGCTGATGACTGGACTTGGGATATTTATACACGTATGGATTATTGTACGATGTAAAGAGTTTGAGTGGGGGATATTAAAGTTTTTACGAAACGCATTACGACGATGTTTGATGTGCGTTTGAGGCGCGACCGCATCGATCTGTTGGTTAGTCAACTCAGTTTACTTGGGCTGTCGCGTGTATATACATCGAGAAGTTTTAAATGGAAGCTAGTGGGTGGCTGAATTTAGAAAACTGTAAATAATATTGTAATATTTATTGCTCGCTTGGATGAAAAATACATTTTTTAGACTATTTCAACATAAAAAGTATTTAAAGTGATATCAATGGCCGACAAATTAAACATCTACAAACGATTTTTCATGACCCTTTAAATAAAAATGTTTAGCAAATAAATTTATTTATTGAGATTTAAATAATATCCATACTTTTTGGGCCATTGGAAAATAATTTTGGTTACTTAGAGGATTCAAACTACTCGTTATGTGTATTGAACCTGTCCAAAGATAATTATCAGGTTTGATTATGATTTTCGTTTAGTTTGCATTACTTGCTTTGGACTCAGAACCTTATTACGTAAATACGTGCATGCATTAACCCAAATCTCGGACTGCACTGATTTTTCGTTGAAAATTATGTTTGTATCCCCGAATAGTATTTTCACGAGAAACTACACTTTTTCCTCTAAAAACCGTATAAGACACTCTCCCGTTAATTAGTCAAGCCTCGAAATCAAAAACAGATAAGCTATTCGGGTTGCAAAACGGTAGTTTGTAAAGGTGCTGAATCAACGAAAAAAAAAAAAAAAAAAAAAAAAAATTAANAATAGGGATGCGAAATATTTAAATTAAGAGTCCTCTGAAGTGGATAGTTTTTTTCTTGGGATTTATTGTACAGGAAAATTTCCGATGTTTTGGAGCCTGTGTTCATAAAAATTATCCAATTTTTTTAAGAACTGTGGCACAAATTCATTGTTTCTTTAAATTTATTTTTTTATTTTATTTTATTTTATTTTTTTTTTTTTTTGTGATTTTAGGCCATATATTTCATTGCTCAAACAAAATTACTAAAATAGTATCTGTATACATCACGTCACTAGTGCCTGGAGCAAGTATTTTTTACACAAGAGCTGATTTGGCAGCCATAGCAAAGCAAGGGTTACAATAACACGGTTGCATGAGATATTTTTTTGTGTAAAAATTACTTCACGTATTCTACTAGAATTACTTCTTTATTCTTTGAAATATACATTGTATAGGCTAAAAAAATTGTTTCACCTTATCATAATTCATGTTCAAGAATTTTTTCATGGAAACCCCATAGTGCATAGTTAGCATAGTTATAATTAATTTAAATTTGTAGCTTGTAATATTTATTATTCGTTATTAATTACTGTGAAATTTTTTAGTAGTTAATAATAATATAACCATCTGGAAAATGTTTGGAAAAATAAATCGCGGGTGTGAAAAAACGAACTCTTACTTTTGAAAATGGTTAAGTTTAGAAAATTCAAAAAGAAAGCAAGTCATCGATGATACTTTTTTTTTTCAGCACACAATGTATTCGGAGCACAACCTCGAGATAACAGTGTAATCTCATCGTCGTCCGACCACCGACGCACCCAAGGTCCTCCCAACTTAAAAAATTCAAAGTAGCCGTTAAAAATTAATTCCAAATAAACGCACGCTTTTAAAACACCAAGAGTCTATTCGACCGACTGCCCGACCGAACCGATCAAAGAACCCCCGATCGAACTCTCAACCGATATTCAACTGAATTTTCACTCCAAATTTCAATTCAAACCCGCGAACCGGCCCCATTCGCGAGAACACCCTCAACCCCTCGTGCAGTCACGCGATCTTCAAACGACACCGGACACGCCATCCACCCCCTGTATAAAAAGCTCAATGACTCCACGAAAATAGGATACACATGCCAATGAATCTCTTCGCACTAAACGATCGACTTTCTTTTTTAATCCACAACGTAAACAACGACCGAAGAAACGGAGAACCCACGGACCGGCCGGAGATCGGTAAGAACCGCTCCGGGAAAGAAAGAGAGTACACGCATGTATCCGAGAAGAGGGAGAGGGGGGCGTTTAACAAACGAAAAAAGAGAAAGGCCCAAGTCACGCGAGCCAAATGGGACGATAAAACAAATATGTGTATATACGCGCTCTCACGTGAGGACTGTTCTCCTATACCGGTAATTACATTAGAGCGCGCGTATATAAATATACACCCTACGTGTTGTGGTACTCGACGACACGCGGCACCACAGGCTATGAAATATGTATATATGTTTATCAAATGTGTAGGTATATAAAATAATATACTCACTTCGGGATTACTTCGGCGAAAGAGGAATCAACGGCGTGAACGACAGGTGTTCCAGAGTTGCCGATTCGAGCGCTTTTGGACGTTTCAAGACGCACACGAGGTATGTTTTGTTTTTTGCACCGGCAAACACAATTGAGCCTCAAAATCACTCGTGGGTTTTCTGAGGCGGGGGTTGTTGGCACAATATACACACACGCGCGCGCGCGCCCGCCCTATGCACAGAGTCACTACTCGCGGACAAAGAGAACCAAGTGTGCGTTGTGCATGTAGGTACCTTATACGGGCCTGCAACGTCGTTAGTTTCCACTCCACGCGATCACCGTCTCATCCCCGTCCCGCGTGGAAATCATTTTTGTCCTCGTTTGAATGTAATATCTACCCCTGTGTGTACAGGCAGTTGGCTCCGGAAAGCCAATCTTTCCGTACAGCGTGTGTGTGTGGTATATAACACTTGGAAAATATAAACGAATTTTCAGGCTTAGAACAAGAGTTTTCCGGAGCAGAGCCGTTGCGCTGCCGTTCGCCGACGCGTCTAGACTGCGGTGCGGACCTCCTCGTCGCCGTATAGTACCTCGGTGGCTCAACCTCTGTCCCTCGCGCGTACACGGATGGATCCGTGGAAAATTTTTTTCTCGGGGCAAGGAATAGGAGAAGGGAAAAAATGGGGGTTTTTTTTTCTTCTCTCGCGGATTGATTCATCGGTGATTCTTAAGTTGCGAGAAAACGTCACGAAACAGTTTTAAAGGGTTTTTGTCGGGCCATCTGGAGGCGAGCTCTGAAAAAGCGTGGGATACCGATTTCTTGGATCCTTGCGTTTTGAAAATCGAGATCGGGCTGTGGTAGCCTGACACCAAACATATTTGTACCTATTTTTCGCGGATCGTGCGGTGTACATTCATGTACAACGGCGCGAGTTGAACAGCCGGCGCAGTCGGTCTTACTTGTATATAAGTACATACACCCAACTCCGATTCGATCGCGCGCTCTCCCCGTACGCGTATACATGTATAGAAGGCGCGTCTGTCTGGTCGATGTATAATGCATCGTAGCTACAGCTATTCCGTCTCTGCGATGGATATATGTGCGTATGTGTACGGGGCTGATATTATCTCTGCTCTCTGCTATCTGTTGCCTTTCTTGTCCGCATGAATATGCACTTTTCGTCGCTTCCAAGGGGTAAGTATTTGTTTTGTTTTTTTCTTTAGGGATATGGATCGATGAAAGGGATGACAGGAGGGGAATTGTATGCAGGTATGTTTTTGCATTGGAGTTTTATGTACATGAAAGAATCCGTGAAAAGCTTGCTTGAATATATACTCGTAAGGGTGGAAAAAAGGTGGACAGGAAGAACAAATGGCATTACAATGGCTCAAAGACAAACACAGAGTCTCGGGATGAATTTGTGTAACTCGTTATTTTGTAGAGACGTAAATGTTTCGTAAGTACATCTTATGATTTTTGTTTTTTGTTTTTTGTTTTTGTTTTTTTTATCCTGCGCGTCTTCACCCAATTTGAATAGTAGTTTTTCAACAATAGCACGGTAAGCCTTTTTTTTCTCAATGGTAGATAATCTTATTTTTTTTACAGTCTGCTCCAAAGTATTAATTAACAATAATGTCGAAAGATAATAATATTTTTTACAGATTCGATCGTACGTAATATATGTGGTGCACGATGAGTCTGCATAAGGGCTCACTTGCTGTGTACATAAATGTGCGTGTGTATAGGTGGATGAAAGAGGGAGGAGTAGTCGCGGCTGGACAGGAGGGGAGGGCTCGTGTCTGGGGGCTTCGAGAGTTTCGAGCGAGCACGTGCACCCGTGGTGTAAGAGAGGCGCACACGAGGCGGATTTTTAAATGGCTCCGGAGGGTGGGACCTGACGTAGCAGGGTACGATTATAAATAGGGATGCGAAATATTTAAATTAAGAGTCCTCTGAAGTGGATAGTTTTTTTCTTGGGATTTATTGTACAGGAAAATTTCCGATGTTTTGGAGCCTGTGTTCATAAAAATTATCCAATTTTTTTAAGAACTGTGGCACAAATTCATTGTTTCTTTAAATTTATTTTTTTATTTTATTTTATTTTATTTTTTTTTTTTTTTTTCTCGTCTCCACTGCGCATTTTTGCTCGACAGTCCGACAGCGAGCCCCGCCATGGACACACGCCTTGCAGCACTGATCCTGGCTCTGCTGGGCCTTTTCGGGCCCAGCGAGTGCAAGTACCGGCAGAAGAGGATCGTCGGTGGCGTGACGGTTCCCACACCACCGGTGGACGACCCTCTGGTGTTTGTCAGGAAGGGCGACCTCGAGGCTCGCGTCTTCGGCACCCGCGACCCCAAAACCGGCTACTATTTGTTCCGCGGTATCAGGTACGCCGAGCCACCGGTCGGCAATCGACGCTTCCAGGTGAGCACACCTTGGGTCATTCTCATTTTTAGTACAAAAATATAATAGGTATTATACCTCCTCGATGCGATATGTTTGAAGACTCTTCATGTATATACACATATTTACGCATTAAAATGTATTATTGCTTTTGAATCCGGTTGGACTGGATTTTTGTTTTTGGCACCGTTCGCTTGGGACTTATGCAAATCACCGTGGGGCCTTGATTCTGGAGGACCAAAACGATGAAGTAACCGTCGACCATCAAACTCGTCGTGAGACTCAATAAATTTCACCGCTTGACTCACACGTAGATCGTTAATACCTATACTTGTTTTGTTTACTTGTTGTTTTCAAATGGTTACACATCAAGTAGGTATACGACCGCGTCCGTACATAGGTGAAGAATATACATGCAAAGAGACGTTTACAAAAAAATTGCGTCACTTATTACGTTGTATTATATTCATGAGGCAAATTCAATTTTTCCGAAGGAAAAAAAAAAGGGGAATATTTTACCGTGAAATACGTACAGCAACAGACACAAAGTTGACCAAAGAGTAACGCGATAAGCTCTCCATCTCGCTATCGTATTCTCTCGACGACATCCTGAATCGGAAATAGAACGACACGCGTGATTATACGCACCGGGATGTGTTTTTTGTTTTTTTTTTTTTTCACACCAAGACAGCTGACCTAAAAAACGTAAGTATAACCGATAATAATGTCCACCCAATCAGCGTTCGGTGCCCCTGTACTTGGAAAACGAGGTGAACGCGACCGAGTGGGGCCCACCGTGTCCACAGCCAGGCGCCAACGGCGGAGTGATCGGTAGCGAGGACTGTCTCTTTCTGAACGTCTTCACGCCCGCGCTGCCCGACGCCACCGACGGCTACCCCGTGCTCGTGTGGATCCACGGCGGCAACTTTCGCCGCGGCGCGGCCACCCAGTNAGTATTTCTTTGAAAATTCGAAAAAATTGCGAATGACTTTGTATAATTATTACCAACTGCCTTTAAGAGCTAATGTGTATACAATAGAAAATTTACTGCTTTTTATATAAATAGTTGGGTATCGCGTATATGTATTACAAATTCACTTTCGTCGCTTATTTTTTTCGAGTATTAAAAAAATTTGTCCTTCACGTCCAAAATGTTTATTATTTTTCATTGTTATTTCAGTTATTAAAATATTTCATTTGACATTTCCTTACAAGAGACTTTATTATTTGCTCATACCTGACCCAAAGATAGTGGTTTATTATACTTTTAGGACGTCTTTGACAACACTCGCATACATACCTACGGGTTAGTTAATCGGCGCTTCGAGTTTAACATAAAAATGTGACAGTACTATACGCGTGGTAAAATATACAAATAGATATACATACATGTAAACGTGATGGCACGGTTCCGCAAAAGTACAAAATAAAAAAGAAAGGTCCTATTAGTCCATTATTTACTTACAGCTTATCAGCGTTATCATATTTATGTACAAAGGTTCTAGCTGCTATCATTGTTTGCTTTATTACTGACTGTTATACGATAATTACTTCAGCAGAGAAAAAAAAAAAAAAAAAAATAGGAAATTGCAGTACAATTACATAAAAAAAGATGGTGGGGTAAAAGCTGCTTGTCACTGCAACATCTATGTGTCGATGATTTACTTTTGCAATTGACATCATAGTAAATATATTTTCATTGTGACTTTAACCAATAAATTACGAATAAAGTTAAGAAATAACAACAGAAATATAAAAAGTATACTTAAAATCGATTTTTTTGGTCTTAATGGTATCGAAACAATAAAAAAACAGGGATGGGAAAAAAAAGATTTTGTAGGAAGGAATATATCTAAAGTATATGCGTATTAAAAATAATTAACAACGATTTAATGAAAAATGTACATTACGTTTATTAATAATTGTGTCTCGGTCCATGCGACGCTTTCTCGTAAATATATATTTATATGTGTGTACCAAGTATGGATTACAAATTGCATGTGTGTCCGTGTGACCTTTATAATAATTTTTCAGTTAATTTATTTATGTTTTTTATTACTCGTCTTTGCTTTTGACTTTGTAAAATAGTCTAAGAAATAGTTTAAATGCTGTAAAAAGAGAGAATTTTTTTTTTTCGTTACTTTTTTTTGACTGAATAAAAAGCGCAATGTGCAAAAATCTGCATCAGTCCATTGCTCGTCGTTAGCGTGTATATATTTATTTATACGTGTATGTGTATAGCGAAATTGTGTAATCATCAATATTGTGCGAATCAGATGCTTTTTTTATTTGTTTATTTATTTATTATTTCATTTGCGTTTTGGGAGTATACAAGACAGCAGTACTTATAGGGAGTTATTTGCTTTTTATACTTTTCGCATAAAAATTATCGTCGCGAGGACTCTTCCCGATGTAGTAGGAAAATATAAAATATTGCCAGAAACCTCGTCATTTTCACTGACAATATAATGTACATTCCGTCAATTTATCGAAAAATCTTTTATTTTTTAATTTATTTTCATGCTTCGTTCAACAAATAACGATGACAAGGAGAACATTATTATTATAATAATAACACAATATGCGCGCTTTCCAAACAAAAGTAACGGCATTTCATTTTCTATTATTTTTTTTTTTTTTTTTAACTTTTTTTTTTAATTTCTTTTTTAACGCTGCTGTATGCAATATGTGACAGTTAATTCATAATACATAATAAATTCGCATTATCATACTATATATATGCTCGAAATACAATCCATGTGATCGTATACACGATAGTATTCTCAAAAACAATAACTCTACGACTCGGATAATTCTTAATATATACACGGCACTTGGCTCTTTCATTCATCGCCTCTTGTTTCGTTTTCTTTTCTTTTTTTTAGTCTCATCCTCATCAGTATAATATCGTCTTCATCGTCGACTTTCTTTACTCCCATTATCTTTGCTACATAATACTTTATTTATAAATATATGTATGTCAAATAGCGCATATCACGTTACAAAGTCGTGAAGAAAATCAATGAAACGAGCGAATACCTATCGTGTGTCAAGCTAACAAAACGAGAGGGACGAGAACTCGGGACTGCCAAAACAGAGATGCCAAAGGCTCGTCCTCCCTTATTTTTCTGGGATCGAAATTTAATTAAACGCGATGATTATTGTAACAAAGGTATGACAAGTATACGCAACTGTGTGCTCCTACTGCTAGTATCAACATTTATACATTTTACAACCAAAAAGTACTCCCAGGTTTTCTTTTTTTTTTTTTTTTTTTTTTTTTTTTTTTTTTTTTTTTTTTTTTTTTTTTTTTTTT